TGCGTTTATGTTTACACTGAGCCTGGAGTAGAGTGGTGTAGCTAGGTAAGAATTGTTCATTTGTCTTCTAACATCCTGTTGAACCCATATAAATAAGCCTCATTGACCCCCAGAGCCAGTGGATCTGTCCTCTGGGCAACAGCCACAGAAACCATGGCCCCGGATGTGAACACAGGCTCCTTTCACAGAGACTCCAGTGATCTCGTGTGGGGGCAGAGGGAGAGCAGGAAAGGTGCCTGCCAGTCTGCCCGGTGTCTGAAGAGGATTGCAGTTAGTCCGTGGATGTTTTCTTAGAAGTCTTCCCCTCAGGCAGCAGTTTTAAAGATAAACTAATAAGCTCCTTTCATTGTAAGACTGGGCATTTGTCTGCTTCTGCAATGTGCCCTTGGGGATCGCTGGTTAAGATCTCTTTCTCTTTTAGAGCCCTGTGGGACTGTGAATGTAAGCCCTGCTTGCTACCAAGCCAGGCATTCTAGGATTGTTCCTGAGTGGCAGCTAAAAAGCAAGGGTTTTAGAGGTGCATAAATTCCAAGTGATCTGGAGTGAGGCCAAGGGAGAATGTGACCATAGCTCCATCAACTTCAGCTGTCTTTGGAGATTATTTCAGTAGGCACCTTAGATGTGTGTTAAATCAGAAGCCTGCCCTTCAAGCTGAAACTTTTAAGATAAAAAAATAGGCCTCTTTTATGGAAGATGAGGCATGATTCAGTTGGTTACCTCTGCACTGGGGAGTTAGCCTTGGTGCATCTGCACAAGTCCTTTAGGAACTATTTCTCTACTGACCTTTGGGTGTCATGGATGCAAGCCCTACTGACTTTCAAAAGCAGATGTTTTGAGGGCTGTTTCGAGTGCAGGTTTTAAAATTTGGGATTACAAATGTGGAGTTCAAACCCTTTGCTTCTCAAGAAGCTGTGCATTGTGAGTTCCCTCCTGATTGTGAATTGCTGCACTGGCTTTATGGTAACATTGTGTTTCAGGCTCTCTTGCCATTTTTTTTTTTTTAAATCATTCATATATTTCTTTTTTCCTTTTTTTTAAAGATTTATTTTATTTATACATGAGCCGGGGTACAGGCCAGATGCACGGGAGGGTAAGAGGATTCACCAGAGACAAAGCAGGGAACAGAACAGGCAGACTGATGAAATACACTGCTGAGGGGAGCAGCAGGCGATTCAGGAGAGGTCTGCTGTGCCATGTGGGTGGCTCCCTGGCCAGGGATCAAAGTCGTGCTGCAGTGGCTGTGGTTAGCTTCATAGGTTGCGTCTTAACCCCTTGCGCCACCAGGGAGGCCTTCTACATCACCATTTTTAACTGTAATACTGGATAATCTCTTTTGAGGCACAAAATGTTTAATTTTCATGATGTCTAATTTATTTTTCTTCTGTTGTCTTTGTCTTTGATGTTATGTGCAAGAAATCATTACCAAATCCAGTGTTGTAAAGCTCTTTTTAAATGTTTTCTTCCAAGAGTTTTATTTTTTTAGATGGTACAGTTAGGTCTTTGATACATTTTGAGTTAAGGTTTGTCTTCATTCTTTTGCATGTGGATATCTAGTTTTCTGAACACCATTTGTTGAAAAGACCCATCATTCTCCATTCAGTGGTCTGGCACCCTTGTCAAAAGTAATGTGACTGTATATACAAGGATTTATTTTGGGGGTTTGTAATCTGTTCCATTGTTCTATATAACTGTTGTTATGATACCACCTTGTTTTGATTAACTTTGTAATATGTTTTGAAATCATGAAGTTTGAATACTCCAATTTTGTTTTCAAAAAATTTTTTGGTTGTGTGGGTCCCCTTGAAATCTCATGTGAATTTTAGTATGCATTTATCATTTTGATAGAGATTGTCTTTTATTTGTAGTTCACATTGGGTAATGTTGACATTTTACTGATATTTAATCTTCAGTCCATGAACACAGGATGTTTCCATTTATATCTTTTAATTTCTTTTCTCAATATTTTATAGCTTTCATTGTATGAATGTATTTTATTTTTTGATGCTTTTGTACATGGAGTTTTTTTTTTTTTCCTTTTCATGTTTTTTATGATTATTGTACAGAAAGGCAACTGATTTTTGTCAACTTTGTATCTTGCTGCTTTGCTGAACTCATATTTCAGGTCTATAACTTTTGTGTGAAGTCTTTAGATTATTCTATATTTAGATTATTCTATATTTAAGAACATATCAGCTGCAACACAGTTTTACTTGTTCTTTCAAATTTGGATCATTTATTTTTTTCACCTAGTTGCTTTGGGTAGGACTTTCAGTATTTTGTAGAATAGGGTGGTGAAGGCAGGCATCCTTGTTTTGTTCCTGATCTGGGAGGAAAGACTTAGTTTTTCACCAATTAGCATTATGTTTGCTGTGTTTTTCATATATGGTTTTTATTACATGGAGGTGGTTTCTTTCTATTCCCATTTTTTTGAGTGTCTATCATGAAAGGGTGTTGAATTTTTTCAGATGCTTTTTCTGCATCAATTGAGGTGATTATGTTATTTTTTAATTTTCATTTTGTTGATGTGTTATATCACACTAATTGATTTTTATATGTTGGACTGTCCTTGCATTCCAGGGAGAAATCCCATTTGGTTATGGTATTTAATTCTTTCAATATGCTGCTCAGTTCTGTTTGCAGGTATTTTGTTGAGGATTGTTGCATCGGTGTTCCTGAAGGACATTGATCTGTACTTTTCTTGTAGTCTTTGTTGGACTTTGGTGCCAGGATTATGCTGGCTTTATAGAATGAATTAAGACATAATCCCTCCTTTCAGTTTTTTGGAAACATTAGAGAAGGCTTGCTAATGGTTCTTTAAATGTTGAATAGAATTTACCAGAGTAGTCAAAAGTTACAGGGTTTTTCTTTGTTGGAAGATTTTTTCCAGCTATTTATAACTCTATCCAGGTGGTCTTATTTCTTTAGCTTTTGTTTTTGGGAGGTTTTCTGTTTCTCAGCATTTGTCAGTTTTACATAGGTTATTAAGTTGCTTTGCGACTGTTCATGTTACTGTCATATAATCTTTTTATTTCTGTTGAATTGGCGGTAAGTCCCCACTTTTATTTCTGATTTTTGTAAATTTGAATCTTTGTTTTGTAGGTCAGCCAGAGGTATTTCAGTTTTGTTGATCTTTAGTGAGGTGTCTTATTAAAATGTTGGCACATTTTAAAATTGGGTTGTTTATTATTGTTGAGTATTAAGAGCTTTTTAAAATATATTTTGGATAACATTCCTTTATCATATGTGTCTTTCAAAAATATTTTCTTGCAGTTAGTGGCATTTCTTGTAATTCTCTTCATACTCTTTTTTATTTTTATTTTTTTTTAAAGATTTATTTACTTATTTATATAAGCACTGGGTACAGTCAGAAGTGCAGGAGGGTGAGAGAATTCACCAGAGCCAGAGCGGGGAGCAGAGCAGGCAGAAGGACTGAAGTACACTGCTGAGGGGAGCAGCGGGCGGCAGGAGAGGTCTGCGCGCCATGTGGGACCCTCCTCTGGTGGCCGGGTAGCAGCCGGGGATCGAACTGGCGCTGCAGCGGCTGCGGGCAGCTTCGCAACCCAGCGCTCAACTGCTGCGCCACCGGGGAGGCCCTCTTTATACTCTTTTGCAGAGCAGAATTAATTTTGATGAAGCCCAGCTTGTCATTTTTCTCATGAATTGTATCTTGATGTATCTAGAAAATCTTCACCATACCTAAGATCATCTTCCCTTATATTACTACCATCTACCCTTTGTTGTCTTCTAGGAGTTTTATAGTTTTGTGTTTTACATTTAGGTCTGTGATCCATTTTGAGTTAATTTTTGTAAAGGATATAAGTTTTGTGACTAGATATTTTTGCATGTCCATTTATTCCAGCGCCATTTGTTGACCAGACTGTCCTTGCTTCATTGTGTTGCCTTCATTCCTTTGTGAAAGATTAGTTGACTGTATATGAGGGGTCTATTTCTGTGCTTTCTGTTTTCTTCCATTTATTAAGTCAACTAGTTTTTTCACTAGTATCACACTTAAGCATCTTTTTAAAAAGTCGCCGTGAAAGTCAGCTTTGGTTCTGGCTTCTGGTATGTCCTGAGTGAGTGTCTTCTCTCTGAGTTTTGTGTCTACTAGGAAGGAATTGGAGCTGACATCGAGACTTTCTATGGTGCTGCTGGTTGTGCTTCTCAAACTGCTTGGTGAAGGACTGGTTTTATTTATTTTTTAAATTTCCATCCTGTTGCAGACTGTTTACACTTGTAAAATACAGTGACATGACTTACCAGAAAAATGATCCTGCGCTTGTTTGGTCATAACTGTGTCAAATTACCGTGCAAGTTTCTAAATGCCCACTGGCATTTTGTTGCAGGCTGGCTAAGGGGTCTGCATTTTGGTAGTGCTGTTTTTTTGTATGGTGGCTACAGGTTGGGGAAATGCCTGCTGTATCTGCCTAGAACCTTTCGTGAAACAGGAGCTAAGCTGGGGCCTAGAGATGAGCTTGTTCTATCAGGAGGGGCTACTTCCTGTCTCCCCTGGGATTGGACTTCTGTCCCTGAACCCAGTCTACCCTCAAGTATCCTCTTTAGCGTATTCCTCACTGTGACCCTTGCTTCTCATTCGAAGGCAGGGGAACAATTCAGGGTAGTCAAATGGGCAGTGGCAAGGGGGGTTCTGAGAAGGGGCTGTAAGAGCAGATTTGGAGGGCCAAGGTTGAGCCTTTTCCTGAGGAAGCAGGGCGGAGGGGGTGAGTAGGACTGATACTGAGCATTCTACCATGACAGCCATGGGGCCAGACGGTCTTCGAGTCTTTGAATCAGAGACTGGAGAGCTGGAAGGGACTGCAGGGGTCACCTCGTTGTGCTGAGTTGTTTGTCTCTTGCTCCTTCCCGGCCCCTGACCTTTGACCCACGTGAGCTAGAGGTGTTCGCCTTTAGCTAGGAGACTCTGGGTTGCCCGTGGTATGGGTGAAGTAGAGACCCCTTTCATGCCCTTGGCTTACCCTGGGTGCTCCTGCTTTGTTTTGAAGCTTCAGACACTGTGTGCTCCGTTTGACTGAGAACAACTCGCAGCCCTTGATGACTAAGCTGCAGTGGCTTTTCGCCTTCCTGGAGCACAGCCAGGTGAGTGCGGGGGTCGCTCTCATCTAGACACCCTTTCCCCAGGACTTGCCTCCATTGGCTACAAGCCCCTCCTTCCTGTGATAAGCTGTTGAGCCCCAGTCTGCGATTGGTATGGGTTCCTGGCCAAAGCCCGTGGAGCTGACTCAGTGTCCCTAGTGGGCAGTAAAGGGAGTGTCTCCTCGAGCTCCTCACCTGTGCTGTCGCCCATCGGTAATTCAGTCCATTGCATTAGGTGTTGCAGTGTCTGCTGTGATTCGTGAGCACTCAGCACTGCCAGGTGCCCTGAGGGCTGTGCTTTGTTCTCTGTCTGCCCGCATGGCACCTAAATCCCTTGGCCAGGTTCCATGCCAGGTTCTCTGTGGGGGCATAGACATCAGTAAGCAACAGTCCTGCCTGCAGGAAGCTCAGGGTCTGTTGGAAAGATGGGCCTGCGAGTCTCCACTTAGTGCTGGAACAGAAGGGACTGCAGGGGAAGGGGACATTCGGAAGATGTCATGGGACAGTGACACTGGCTCTGAGACTTGCACTCTCTACTAAGCTTTTGCTAGGGGAGAAGGGTATTTGTAGAGGGAATGGCCGTGAGCAGGGACCTGGAGGGAGAGTATGAGGTGTGGCAGGAAGAGCAGATTGCTGGGGCTTGTTCCTCTCCATGACCCTGATGCCTTGATCACAGGCTGCGGACTTGCCGGGACGGGATGGGCTGGCTGAGGAATAGTGAGAAAGGGGAGGGCTTTGGTGAGGAGGCTGGGAACTTGGGAAATGGTTGCCAGGAAGACTCTCAGGTGAGCACACAGCCCCTGACTATGCCTTTCACCTGCCTTGGTCCTAGCGGCCTGCCATTTCTCCAGAGAACTTCCTCTCGGCATCCTGGACACCCTGGTTCAGCCCTGGCACCCAGCAGGACTGCTCGGAGTACCTTAAGTACCTGCTGGATCGGTAAGGGAGGCCAGACCTGGCTTAGGCGGAGGCTCTGGGCTGCGTGTCTTCCTGGAAACGAGAGTGGAGTGCTGCATTGCAGCACACCTTGCAGCGTGTCGGTGTGCAGTGTGTGCCATGAGTGGGGGGGGCAGGCCGAGCGTGAGGTGCTGCCCTGAACTGTGCGCTGGGAGGGGAGCGTGTGCACGGGCACCCAGTGCTGCGCCTGCCGGTGGCTCCGGGGCTCGTGGCCATGGGTGCACATGGCTTGTCTCTGTGGAGTGAGTTTGTGGGCCTGTGTGCAGGTGGCGGGGTAGCACGTGTGCCTGCGAGTGAGCGTGTCCCTGTGGTAGGTAAAGATGCTTCTGGCCAGCTGGGCAGCGTAGACGCGTGAGCCGGGCCAGTCCCTGGCAGTGGATCTTGTGTCTATGAGTACCCTGTGCTCCCGCCGCAGGCTGCACGAGGAGGAGAAGACCGGGACCAGGATCTGCCAAAAGCTCAAGCAGTCCCGCTCGCCCTCCCCGCCCGAGGAGCCCCCGCGCCCCACGTCGACCTCGGTGGAGAAGATGTTTGGGGGCAAGATAGTGACCCGGATCTGCTGTCTGCGCTGCCTCAACGTCTCCTCCCGGGAGGAGGACTTCACGGACCTCTCCCTCGCCTTTCCCCCGCCCGAGCGCTGCCGTCGGCGCCGCCTGGGCTCCGTGATGCTCCCTCCCGAGGACGTGGGCAGCCCAGACCCCCGGGCCCAGGCCCCAGGCAGGGCGGGTCCCCAGCGCCAGAGAAAACACTGCATCGCGGTGGACACCCCGCCCCCCGTGCTGGACATTGACCGCCCGGACGCCCAGGCGCCCGGGGCGGGGAGCAGCCTGGAGGTGGAGGTGCGCAGCGAGGAGGGCGCACGGGGGGCGCGCGCGGAGGAAGGCACGCAGGGCGAGGAGCCGTGGCCCCAGGAGGAACCCCAGGAGCCCCAGGAGAAGGGGCTGGCGGAGGAGAAGGCGGCCGAGGGCAGGAAGCGCGTGGAGGACGAAGAGGCCCCTCCGGGCCCAGGGCCCCGCAGGGCGGCCGCCCCCGCCGCCGGGGAGCCGCCGAGCGCCCCCGAGGCCTCGCGCTCCGTCCTGGACCTGGTCAACTACTTCCTGTCCCCCGAGCGGCTGACCGCCGAGAACCGCTACTACTGCGAGCCGTGCGCGTCGCTGCAGGACGCCGAGAAGGCGGTGGAGCTGAGCCGCGGGCCGCGCTACCTCATCCTCACGCTGCTCCGCTTCGCCTTCGACCTGCGCACCATGCGGCGCCGCAAGATCCTGGACGACGTGGCCATCCCGCTGCTGCTGCGCCTGCCGCTGGCCGGGGGCCGGGGCCAGGCCTACGACCTGTGCAGCGTGGTGGTGCACTCGGGCGTGTCCTCCGAGAGCGGCCACTACTACTGCTACGCGCGCGAGGGCGCCGCCCGCCCCGCCGCGGCCGCCGACAGGCCGGAGCCCGAGCACCAGTGGTACCTGTTCAACGACACCCGCGTGTCCTTCTCCTCCTTCGAGTCTGTCAGCAACGTCACCTCCTTCTTCCCCAAGGACACGGCCTACGTGCTCTTCTACAGGCAGCGGCCCAAGGAGGGGGCCGAGGGGGCCGAGCCAGGCTCTCCCAGAGTCCGGGCAGAGCCCACCCTCCACAAAGACCTGATGGAAGCCATCTCCAAGGACAACATCCTTTACCTGCAGGTGAGCAGCCCCGGGGGGACCTTTGACCTGGGCGGGGGCACCCCGCACCACCACTGACTTAGATAGCGGCTGCTGGCGTCCCTGGGTCTTCCTGCGCAGCCATTCCTCCGCTGCTTTTCGCGGGAGTGCGTCAGTGGCCCGGACAGACACGGGGTGACTGCAGTAGTAACAGTGCAGGGTGCTCCCTCAGGCTGTGCAGGTGCAGGCGGGGCCAGCGGAGAGGGGTGTGAGGCCAGTTTCAGCTCAGCAGGAACAGCTTTCTGGCAGGCAGGGACTGAGCCCAGCGTCCTGAGAGCAGTGAGCTGGGCAGCATCCACAGGCCGTGGAAAAGGTCTCTGTGTAGCGTGGTGGGACCCTCAAAGTCCATGGACCTCCTCCTTCCTCGTGCCAGGACTAGCCTTGTTGGTCGGTCCCAATCTAGTACGAGTAAGTTCACGTCTCCAAAGGGCTGGGAGTTTTTATTGGGAGGAGAAGGACCTCTTTGGACCCTAGATCTACACTCACCCTCCTTCTGAGCTGGGATGCCCTTTGCTGGGGCAGGAGCTGTGGCTTCTCTGTGCCTGGACTGAGGAGAAACTGAAGTGCGGTGCCGTGGGGAGGCAGGGGGACTCCCATTTCATTGCTTGCATTTTAAGTTTCCTCCCCACCCCCCACCCATCTTCCAGGAGCAGGAGAAGGAGGCTCGAAGCAGGGCGGCCTACATCTCTGCACTCCCATCTCCACACTGGGGCAGGGGCTTTGATGAAGACAAGGATGAGGATGAAGGCTCTCCCGGGGGCTGCAACCCTGCAGGTGGTAATGGTGACGACTTCCACAGACTGGTCTTCTGATGGGAGCCCTCCCCAACCTGCTCCCATCTGTGGGGAGGCCTTGACCCCTTCCTTCTGGGAGCTGGGTGGGGGCCAGGCCCCGAGGAGAGGTGCTCTGCTGGCAGGGGTCTGTGGGTCTGGGCTGTGATGGCAGCCCAGTCCTGAAGGCAGGCCCTTCCAAAGGCAAGAAAGGTGGAGAGGGAGCTGCTGGGACAGCAGTCCTCAACCTGACGGGTGCGCGGAGGCTCAGCTATAGAGGTGAGACCTAAGCTCTTTGCACTGGCCTTGGGCCTGGCTCTGGGATTGGCCCCATTAAGATTTTACACCCAAGTGTCCTGGTCAACTTGAAGCAGCTGAGGTGGACACGCGCTGGGCCCTGCCCCCCGCCCCCAGCAGGTTGCCCGCACTGGAGTGTTGATCTGCTTAGGACCCAGGAGGGCTCACGTGCACCGCTCTAGTGTTTTGCCATCAAGTAGCATTTCCTTCCAGCTCCTTTGACAATCCTACTGCTCTATAGCATAAACGGCAGAGCAGGACCCTAGTCCTTGCACAAAGAAGGGGGTGCTGTGTTTCACCTCTGGCTTCCTTGTTTCTCTGAAGGGCTGCAGGGGCAATGTGCGTGGTGCCTTTTGTGGGTACTGCAGCATTTGGCCTGTTGACATGAATGTAGGTGGGAAGCAGCAGGGCACAGGGCAGAGACTCAGACAATCTCGTCTGGTCTGTTTCCCCCACACCAAGCAACAGTGGGAGACCCTCAACCCCGGCCCCTCTCCCCCAGCCTGCCTCAGTGCCTGAGATGCCACCATTTGTACCCCTTTCTGGTTAAGATAGAGGGGCCTTATTTTTCTGCAGATGTTTCTCATGAAGCCATTGTCCATTCTGAGGGAAGCTGCTGGCTCAGCTCCTCAGCGGTGGGTCTTTAGAGCAGCGGCCTGGGGGGAGCAGATACTGACCTCGTCGTGCCCTGACACTGCTGTAGCCCCGTCTAAATGGAGCGTGCCAGGGCCTCACAGGAATAAATATAGTTCTCGGAAGCCTTTAAAGACGTCTTTCTTCCCCGCCTCAGGGGCTGTGATGTCCGGGTCACCCTTGCTTTCTTACTGTGTTTGGGGAATGAGGCGAGGTCCCCTGGCCCCACTGACTTGTGCGCTATACCCTGGGAGGTGACAGCACCTTGCATTCAGGTGCCCTGTGAATAAGGTGGGGGCCTGACTAGTGCTGGGACAGAAGCAGCTGCAGGTGCTGGCAGAAGGAAGCAGAGCATTCCTGAGAAGCAAGGGAACCATCCCTCTCTGGAAGGGCAGGCACCTAGGTGAGTCCCCTGTACAGCATCCCATTGGGCAGGCCCAGTCCATCAGGAGGGGTTGGAACCCCAATATCTGGAGACTGTTCAGACCTCCTAAAGCCCTGGGTTTCCCAGAAATGGCTATAGCCGGTACCATATTCCTTCTGCTTTCCCTCCAAGAACCTGGGGGCTGTGGCCTCTCTGGGGCTAGGCCTAGGTGGTGCCCCGTGTTTGGGTTCAGCATCAACCTTCGCACCGGGCCAATCCCCATTGGGGAACAGAGGTGGTGGGAAGGCAGAGCCCCGCCTGTAGGTGAAGGAGCTGACAGCCTCCCCTGAGGGCAGGCTGGTAGCGGCCTAATCCAAACCCACCTCTGTACTTCCAGTCCAGCGCCTGCTAAGAAAGATGAATTGGCAGATGTTGCTGCAGTTTCCATTTTATACATCAGAAATACAGACTCTGAGGTAAGGAGGATTCATTCTTGTTCCCGGCCAAGAAAATTACCTGATTCTTTTCTGTTACAATGAAGGTGGAACAGGCTGGCAGCCCAACCTTCCTGGGCTTGTGAGAGAAACTAGTGTGAGCAGATTTCTTTAGAAGTGGAAGCCTGCACAAGGGCACCCCCGTGCTGGCGCGAGTGGGCGTGTCCGTCTTCCGCAGACAAGGCAGACTCAGCAGCCCTCGCTGGTTGCTTCTAATGGACTTTATTGTTGTCCTGCTCCAACACCACAGTAAACAGGGCCCCGCGAGCGCCAGGCCTGCGCCGTGTGTCACCACAGCAGAAAACAGGACCCACCTAAACACGCCCCCACCCCGCCCCAGACCTACGCACAGGATAAATAGGTGTTACAAATCTTGTTTTAAAGAAAACAGAAAACAGAATAAATTAATAACTTAAGTGATTAGGCACCAACAGTGATTTGAAAAAATTAAATGTCAATTTTAAATGGCAACAGGGAAAGAGCCCAAGGCTGGGCTTCTCCTAGCCCATTTTCTCGTCCCAACAAATAGTGACAGTGACAGCTCCGTATGAAATGATTCTAAAGTTTCAAGACGCATTTAGCCAACACACAAGAACACATACACCACCGAATACCGCGTGACAGCCTCAAGCTCCAGCGGGCCCCTAGAGGCAGCCCGCTATGGCCCCAGGCCCCAAAGAACTCGAGAATCCCAGCACAGCAGCCCCTTAGGAGGGGCTCTAGAGCTCAGGTGGCCGGCCTTGCGCCCCCACTTTGCGGATGAAGGCCCAGAGCGGGAAGGGTGTGAGCGTCTCCCTCCTGCCCTGAATTCCTTTTCCAGACCCCTGGGGGGTGTGGGGGGGTGCTAGCTGGCCATGGCTTGGGCTGAGGCCTCAGCCTCAGGGTAAAGGGCAGACTGGAGTTGAGCTCATGCTCCAGTCACTTCAGAATGGTTGTGCTTCGGTGCTGGGAGTGGGGGCACAGCTGAGAGGTTTCAAATGTAGAAGTTACCGAAATCAGCCTAGGGAGGGGACTGGGTTAATGGGCTAAGGCTCTGGTCCCTGGCGGTCCAGACCTTTGAGAGAAAAGTCAGAGCAGAGGGCGTTCCCCCAGAGCCCCGCTAACCACCCATCTCGGAGGCCGCCCTCTTCTCCCACTGTTCCTGTTCTAGTTGAACTCTAGCGCCGCCAGTGGATAAGGACAGCTGCTGCTCTGGCGCGTCCCCAGATAGGATGAGGCCTTGTTTGAGTTATGCTGGCTGAGAATGATCTCCGTTCTGATGTGTCAGTCCTTGCCAGGGCGACAGGCGTGGTGGACTCTGACCCGCGGATAGACCAAAGGTTTTTACACTGGTCCAGCAGGTGTGTACCGGCTCTCTGGTGATTGGGGCTTGTGAGCACCTCTGCTTTTGACAGGCCAAGTTCCTCCTCTCCGATGCTTCCTTTTGCTTGTCTATCTCAGGAGCTCCATCACGGCACACTCAGGAAACACAGGCACACAGGGAGGCCACTGGGGCTGGGAACTGAGGGTATGGACACCTGGCCCTCCTGTAGGCTGCCGGGGGTACAGGTATGACACCCCATTAAAAGCTCTGCCATATGTGGCCCTGCCATATGGGACACAGGGCTGGGCAGAATGAACCAGCAAGCCTTGCCCAGCACCTACCACCGTCCTTACACCCGTGGAGACAGGTGCATGGCGCCATAGCTTCCAAGTGGCCGGACCCATCCTCTCTAAGATTAGTTATTCTCAAAACACAAGTCTTTCCAAGTCACGCCTCCTTCCTCCACTCCAAGGCCTGTCTCAGGGCCTTTTCCTAGAAACTGTCACTGATCTTCACCCCTCTCTACTCTGCTGTCCATCACCAATGTTTTGTCTTCGTCTTCTCACTGACTGTGACCTCAAGTACAGGGACAAAGTCTGATTCATTCCAGTGTCTGTAGTGCCTAGCCCAGAGCCCAGCTACAGTGGCCATTAGTTGGTGGGGGCTGGAAACTAATACTAGGAGAAGGGCAATTATTGAGAAAGGAGGTCCTCCCAGATGGGACGTCCCCGAGAATGGTCCGGCTGCGTGTGCACGTGCTCACGGGAGCTGCAAGGTACGCAACAGCCATTCCCATAAACATGGTAGAGGCTGTTTTGTGGAGGAGGAAGGTCCGTTCACCCCCGGGTAGGATGAGACACCAGGTCAGCCCAGTTGCCTTTGAAATCCTTGAATTTGGTCAAGAAACTTTCAGCATAGAAGATTCAGATCCCCTAGGCAGGGCATCAAGTTGTGGTATAAATTGATGCCCCATCTCCTGCCTCTGGGTGCTCATCTAATAGCCTTTCAAGCTATGGGAGGAGGGGTCTGGCCTCCCTGTAGACAGATTTAAGTCCACTGTGGCACCTGGAATGTGGGGGAGCAACAGAAGGCCCAGCACCAGGCCACACTCGCACCTGTCCAGGGCCCTGGCATAAGCAGCCGGCCATTCCCCACGTGTCCTCCTCCTTGTACTGCTTGCTTCACCCAGTGTCCATCTGTCCTGGGAGCTGCCCTCATCACGCCACCCTCCTGACGTAACCTAATACTCCTTCACTTTCTGTTCCACCTGCACTTGGCACTGCCTGGGGACCCCATCAGGTCCTCTGGACCTATCTCCCCTCCCTGCATCAGTGTCTCGCACCACCCAGCCTGCAGAAACTCACGTGCTGCACAATCCCTCCTGTAGTGTCCTGTGCCTCTGCCCAGCTTGTTCCTGTACCAGGGCTGCCCCTCAGTCCCTGTATCACCTCTGTGCTCCCTGCACCCAACTCCATTTCTCACCCTGCACTGCTTCCCACACCTCCACCAGCCTCCCTCCCTGTGCTTACACACACACACACACACACACACACACACACACACACACACACACGTGTGGCAGGCTGCCGTGCCCAGCACGGCCCAAGCCTCCAGCCAGGTGCTCTCAGTGGGTGGGGACTTGGAAGAGGAGCACATTCCATCCTGGTACAGAGTGGGCCTATAGCCCACCCCCATCTCCTGGGCGCCAAGCCCTGCTCCTTATTCTTGGTTGCCCAGCCTCAGTTTCCCCTTTTGTCCGCAGCCTTCTACCTCCCCCACACAACAGCTGCCCTGCCTGCTGCTTGGGCTGAGAGCAGGGGGTCACTGCAGGTACAACTGCTGTCTGCCTCTGGGGATCTACTGCCATTTACCCTCAAGACCACCTCTAACCTTTTATCTTCTGGCAGCCTTGCCCCTTCCTTGCCAAGACAGATAGGGATGAAGAAGTTCACGTCTACTTTGGTCTGCTGGTCCTTGGCGCCCTGGGTCAGCAAGATGACTTGGCTGGAGGAGAGGTAGCCCAGTCGCTGAAGGGAAGGAGGCTGAGGGCTGTGACCGAATGTGAGGTTGGAATCTGGCTCAGAGCCCCACCGCCTCCCTCCAAACATCTGGTAGAGATTCAGGTCTAAAGGGCAGGAAGAGGCTGAAGGATGTTTTTTGGCAATAGCTCTAACTAAGGTGGGTCAAGGCTTAGCCATGACTAATAAAACCAAAGGTGGGTCGAGTGGGGAGAGGAAGTGCCTCAATCAGGCCCTTACCTCCCAGGGGAAGGGTTCAGGGTCCCTGATGTCAAGTGCTTTGAAGGCCAGAGTGGCAAAGTAGAGAGGAGGAGGCTGGAGGAGGTGATGGGGACGAGAGAGGGGTTTGGGGTGGAGGCAGCTCCAGAAACACTGCCTCCTGGCCCCTCTCCAGGCGCGGCAAGCCCCCGAGTCACAGCTTGGCGCCCTTGGAAGGCTCCGAGGACTGTCGCACATCTGTCCACTCCTGCATGGTGTTCTGCAGGGCCTGGGTCTTCTCCTTGTCCACTTGAACGTAGTCTACCTTCTCGTCGGAAGTGACGGATGACGTGGATGGCTAGGGGACAGGGTATGTGAGCTGTCAGTAAGGTGGGGAGCAGGTGGGCTGTGCCTGCCAGTTGACTAGCTGCAGGAGCCCGTCTTCTTTCTCTGAAAGTGGTCTTAAAGCCTGACCCCCAAATTGCACCATCCCTCCTGTTTAAGGCAATAGCCCCTGCCAGGCCGCCTGATTTCTCAGCTCTTTGGAAGTCCCAGGGCCTTCCTTGGCCTGGTGGAAGGATCCAGGCCTTCAGCTCTGTTCTCACCACCAGCCTGTGCCACTCATCTGGGGGAAGGAATTTTCTGGGCACAACACAGCACCAGCCATAGGACGTCGTGTGTGTTCCTTGAGGAGCCGCCCTCCATCAGGGAGCTCCTGGCCTGGGCAGCTAAGCATGCTTCCTACCAAGGCTTTCGTAGGCCCAGAAATCCCCTCTACGGGACCCCGTATCAGACAGCGAGTTCTCAGGACCAGGGCACGGGATTCCTGGATCTAGCCCTGATTCACTCAGTGACCTTGAGCAGATCAGCTGTCTTGGTGTGTAGTCACTGGCTCCTGTGTGCAACAGGGGGAGGGACTAGCTGAAGCGCTTTGCGATTGCGGGTGCCCTGAGAGAAGGAACGGGGTGCTCCGACTGACGCGCAGTGGACTCCTAAGAGGCCGAGTACTGCTGATTAGTGTTGAAGGCACCCTCACCTGCAGGATCCCACCCCAGGACTCCGAGAACCCTCATACCCTCACCCCACCCACCCCAGGCACCTTGCGGTGGGGGCTGGGGGAACTCGGCTGGAAGTCCAAGGCCAGATAATCCACGTTGCCAGTGCTCTTCTTCGGGGCTGGGCTGTTCGTGCCACTGGGGATGGGAGATGCAGACACTGGGTTTTGCTGTCGGAGAAGGAAAAGCCAGTCAGTCAGTTTAGGAAACAGACTCACCCACCATGAGAAAAACACACTGCTGGAAGGAAGCGCTGTTCGCTGACTGAGTCGCGCACTATGCTAGGACTTTCCATGTTCTCATCCAACCCTCGCAACAATCCTGTGATGTATTATGTGTCTTTTTAAAAACAAAGGGCGGTGAAGGGCGGTGATCGCCTGTGGTTGTACAGCTGGTGAGCAGGGATGGGAACCAGGTGCTTTCTGACTCCCAAACCTGTGCTGCTCCTCCCTACCGTCTCGCTTCCCTTCGAAGGCATCAGGCCCCATCCCAGCCAGCCTCCCAGACAAACCCAGCCTCTGCTTCCCGGCCTTTAAGATGCGAAGGCATTTCCAGCATGCGCGGGGCCTTGGCCGCCTCCTGCTGCACCAGGTCTGTCTCTGTGGAGCCCACCACGGTCCCCGGGGGGCCGCCGCACCCAGGCCGCTTGTTCCCGTGTGCCTGAGGGGTCCTGTCGCTACTTTGCACAAAGCCCCAGTTCCTCCAGCAGCTCTGCCAGCGACCCGCTCTAGGGTCCTGGCCCCACTCAGGTACCAAGACTACCTTGTCGAGAGTTTTCTGAAATCTTACTCTAAATGAGAAAGGCGGGGGACCGACTTTGTTTTTTTTTTTTTTTGGCTAATTCATGGTTCATTCTTTATGCGGCAACTACCAGGCGCTGAGTGCACCTGTTTTCTTTTCAATGAAAATCTCAGAGGAGACTCACCGTGTGCTGCCTGTGCTTACGCTGCTGCTATGGCCTTTACCACAGTGAGTCATCCGCGAGTGTTTCCCATCGCGGAGCACATACTCAGCGCTTACGCTCAAGTATTCGCTCGGGGCTTGGGAACAACAGTTTAAGGAAACAGAAAAGATCTTCCACTTTGAAAACATTTTAACAGAATAGGAGGAGGTTAACTCTGAAGGGTGCTTTTGTCACCAGTGATGACTCTGAAACGCCTGCCTAGTGCCTTGGTCTGCCCACAGGGGAAGTTCCGGCTTCCCAAGATCGCATCACCCCCGCCCACACCCACCATCATTCTCTTCATCTGCACCTCACTGCCCTCCTGTCCCCAGCTTGGCATGGCTGCCGTCCTGCAGGTGCATGCCCTCCAGCACCGCCTCCCCGGGGCATGGACCCTGCCAGTGAGGCAGGTCTTCTCTGCCCCTTAGGACCAAGTCCTCATCCTTGCCTCGGATGACCCCTGAATGCTCCACACACGCGTGCTCAAGAAGGATTTGCAGCAGTGAATTAAATCCCCAGCGCTGGGGCAGCCCTGAATCAGCGTGGACTCGCCGAGCCGGGGTCCGGGGGGCTCACCATAGGGACGTAATTCTCCTCGCTGTCTCCCGAGTCCGTGCTGGTGATGCTCTGGGTGGAGATGGGGCGGCAGTACTGGGAGGAGGAGCTGGAGTTGAAGCTGTGGCTGTTGTGGAGAGAAGACGGTCAATCCCGGGGACGCTCTCAGCCTCTCGCTGGCCCTGACCCGCACACGCCATTATCAGACCACGATCTGGTCCACAGCAGGTATACTGTCCCCCTGACAGACGAGGGAACCAGGTTCCCAGCAGCACCAGAGCTGGCCCTCGCTGCTGTCAGCATTAGCAGCGGGACTCGGCGTCCCTGGCTCCACTGCCTGGTGACCTTTGCCCTCACAGCCCAGATGGCCTGTTCCCCCCACTTCCACCGAGTGACACTCACATGGCCCTTGACCAGGACTTAGTGACAGGTGACTTGAAGGGGAGCTCATCAATGACGGTGTTGTTTCTCAGGTCGAGTGGTGTCGGCTTTGCTGGATCAGAACAGAGTTGATAATCAGCCGGTGAGGAGAAAGCACACACACTCCCCGCGCTGCACGCAGCGTACAAGCATGTCCTTACATGTCGTCGCCCCCAGCTTCACACAGGGACACTGAGGCTCATAAGGTTAAACAATCTTTGCTCAGGTTGCCAGGCCTTGAGGTCAAGCCTTCAGACTCCAAATTACACATTCTTTGCACAGCCGCTATGGCCACGAGAGATGGCATCTGAGGTGGAGTTGGGCACTGCGTGTCCGCTGCTGCTCACGGACCCAGCTCTGGGACCCACTGGGGAGGAAGGTGCCATCAGGAGGTGGCCAAGCCAGAGCTAGAACCTGAACGTCAGCCCTTTCTCCCTGGCCTCGATGCGGAGGGCACAGAGCCAATGTCCCTGACCACTGCTCAGCAGTGTCCATGTCCCGGATGCTTAAACTGGGGAGGGGAAATTGCTGTCCCCATTTTAAGAAAACCTAAATTAAAAATTAAAAATACGTAATTTTTTATAAATTAAAATTAAAAATTAAAAAAAATTTGAGTAGGGCCTCCCTGGTGGCACAGCAGGTTGAGCGCAGCCCTGTGAAGCTGTCCGCAGCCTCTGCAGCGCGGGTTCGATTCCCGGCCAGCCAGGGAGATTCCCACATGACACGGCAAACCTCTCCTGCCGCCCGCTGCTCCCCTCAGCAGTGCATTTAGGTCCTTCTGCCTGTTCTGCTCCCCGCTGTCTCTGGTGAATTCTCTCACACTCCCGTGCCTCTGACCTGTACCCCAGTTCTTGTATGAATAAATAGATCTTTAAAAAAAATTGAATGTAACTCTTAATGTAAATATTAAGAATAAAGACTGTTGTCCCAAGTCACACACCAAGGAAGTGCTGGACAAGGATTCTAACCTACATCTACTTGGTTTGAAAGCTAAAGTCTTTTTATTACATTCGAGCGTCTTTTTCAATATACCACTTTGTCAGCTCTCCCCAGCCGGCCCCAGATCTAACACTAATCCCTCATCCTCGAGTGTGTTTTATACACTACAAGGCACTTTTGAATATACTATCTATGACCCTCATTGCCTTTGGGAGGTAAGTATACCTCCCATTTCACAGGTGAAGAAACAAGATTCAGAGACATGGCGTGATCTGTCTGCCGTTACAGGTTGGCAGGCGGCAGTGCTGGAACCGGAATCTGTCCCCTCAGACTGCTCCAGCGGCCAGCTCCCAGGGTGCCAGACCACTGGGCTGAATTTGGAGTGTGGGTGTGTTTTCGGTGGCTTAGGTACCCCTTCCTTGCAAGAAGTGTACAGGATTCACCTCAACTCTAAATGCATGCAGTTAGTCCCTGGTCACTGTCTACGATGGGACGGGGAAGGTCTCACCTTTCCGGTCGGGTTTGAGGTTGCGGTTGACAGGGGGTGGCTGGATCTCACTTGCTCGACTGGGGCCTCGGTGCAAAGGAAGGGCCATAGAGGGGTAGCCAAGTGGGTCGAAGTGGTGGGGCCCGGGGCTCATGGGGATGTAGACACTCTGGGAAGGATCAGCTGCCCGCTCCATAGCCAGCAGCGTGGAGGAACCTGGGTTCATGGGCACGTAGTTGTCTTCAGAGTTGGTGCTGTCTGATCGGCCCACAGCTGCTTTCCCTGGCTAGGTGGAAGAGTAAAAGAAACACCAGTCACCGGCAGGAACAAACAAAGGGGGTGAAGATCTGTATACACAGCGGGTAAAATCTGACTGAGTCACTGCCCTGGAAAGTCAGAAGGTAGGTCCTGGGAACCAAAGAAGAAAGCGGAGTGGGAGACAGGAGGAAATCAGATCTGTGGGTCCCTTCTAGCTTCCAAGATCCCTTGGGAGCCACTTATAATTCGTGATAAATCTTTAATATAAAATATCCTGGTGGCTGGGCCCATAAGCTTCTCGGGATGCCTGAGCGAAGGCAGAGGGTATCACAGGCCATGGATTCATGGGTTTGGCTCAGGACCCAGTCTCCCTTTCAAGTTCAAACCTACCATCTCAGGCCCTGAGAAGCAGAAAGAACATATGAGAAGCCTTGGCCTCGGCAGGTGAGGCCTGGGGCCAGTTGTGTTTTCCCAGCCCAGCTTTCAGTGTGAGCACCAAGCTGTGGTCAGGGAAGACACAGGGTTGTGTGGTGCAGCAACCCTGGCAATCCAGCTCGCCTTCGATGCCCGCCCTGTCTGTGCGGACATGCAACAAGCTGCTTCTGCCTTGGTCATCTAACTTTCAGCCTCTCCAGTGGGCCTGCCACCTTGGAGAACTGTGGTTAGTCCCTCCAGAGGCAGCCTGGGATTCTGCTCTCAAGCCATAATTCTGCACCCAAGAGCCGCCTCCAAGCACCTCCTGCCCCAGGGTCTCGCACTGCAGGGTGGCACCTGCTTCCACTGGAGACCTCATGGGTAAGGATGCTGCCTGAGATCCACCAGCTCAGAGCCTGCACCCTCCTGCTTAACCACAGGGTGGGGAGCCCTGTGCCCTAGTGTGTGTAAGTATGCCCATCTCTTCCAGACCAGGGTACCTGTATCCTGCTTTTCCAAAACTCAACCCAGGGGTCTGGACTGGGACAAGAAGTGAGGCAGGGTCCTAAGAGGGAGACACCATCACTCTTTTGGGGTAAACTATTAGTTCTTTGTGACCTTTAACCCTGAGCTGGCCTGAGGACCCGTGGATAAACCCCACTCACCAGGAAAGAGCTGATTCCGTCACTCATGGACTCGGCAGACCGGCCTGCGCTCTCTCCACTACGCTGGGGGTACTCGTAGGTCTCACAGGAAGAAGCTGCAATGGAGAAAGGAACATTCATATGCACGCACAGTGAGTCACGTGCTGACACCTCTCCATGCCTCACCAATGCCGCGCAGGGTCTTACTGATACTCCAGAAGATACTACTCTCAACTCCAAACTGTGTCCTCAGTTAAGAAACTGTGTCCAGCATCTACAGAGTCCCTCCTTGACTCCTGCCCCCTCACCCCGTACCAATACAGATACTAAGGAAAGAGTGATGTGGTTTTATTTCCTAACTAGATGTGAGTTCTCTGAAGGGCAGGATCAGGCTTTATACATGTCTCTCATCTCAGTCCCAAAGCACAGGATGACCCATCTCATAGCTGATGGACTTACAGACTGTAAAGAGTACTGTCCGGACCTCCCTTCCAGCCCCAGCTCTGCCACTTTGCCACCCGGATAGTCTCCGAGCCACCATGGGCCTCATGGGAAATGAAAACAAGGAGGCGCTCCGTGGGCACTACATGGTTTCAGCAGCAGGGTGGATCGGGACAGGCTTCACGAGAGCAAAGCAAGATGCAAAATGAAAGGAGCTAATATTTTACTTTTTCAACAAACAGATTCTATGCAGAGTGGGAATACTCTCAGTAGAAAACAAGTGACAACAGAATTTAAATGACTCAGATGGACGTCTGGACTTGAACCAAAGAGATGCAAGTGTGGTTTAGAAATTATTTTGAAGATGCAATGTTGTAATCTGTAGTTCACATGGGCGTGGCTCCAGTTGGAGCTGGCCCTCTACATTTATTCTTTAAATCTTTGGTTTGATTGATAGCTGAATGAAATGGTATGATTTGGGCTTCTAAGCCCTACAATTTGTTATGCTGTGGTTAAGCAGAATGTTCTATCTCCCTTACTACAATTTAGCAACTTCTCTGAGGTAGGGTCAGCTACACGCCTGCCACTGTGGCTGTTGGCTCAGCCATTAGTGCTGGAGGACCAGCTACTAAGGGTTCTGGGCAGAAGATGCCTAAACCCTGTCAGTGACCTGGGTGGGCCTTAAGTCTCCCTCAGTCATGGATGACTGAAGATTAGCAAATTACTGAGACCCCCTGGTGACCTCCCCCTCCCCACAGATCTCCGCTAGGGCTCATTCTGACCTCGGTGAAGCCGGCTGTTGTCCATCGCAGGGAGGGTATTGCGCCTGGGGATGGTGGCAGCAGCAGAGACGGATCTGCTGCTTTCACTGATTGGAGGTCTCTGCTGAGGGCTGCCCCATCGAGGCGTCTCTACCTGGCTGGGCTTGGGGGGTCGTGGTGGAGGTGCCATGGCGGAGTCCCCAGGAGTGGCCACTGCCATGGCGTTGTGGTTCTTGTCCAGCGTCACTGTCCTGGGGAACTGGTAGGCTGAGAGGGGGGTGCCTGGGACATCCAGATTGTCGACCAGGAGGTCTCCGAACTCTCTGCACAGGGTGTTGCTGGGCGTCTTGAAGGTGTACACGTCCTCGTTATCCGTCTCGGAGCCTGTGAGGCTGCCCTTGGTGTGGCCGTGGGCGGCCAGGCTCCGGGGGAGGTCGTAGGTACTGTCTCTGAATTCTGCATTGTGCCGGCTCGGCTTGGGAAGGCTGTAGAAGCCGTGGACCTGCCCACTGACTCCGTTGACACAGTGTCCGTTGCCTTGGGCGAGCTTCTGCACGGCGGTGTCGCTCCTCATCAGAAATGAGGCCCTGGTGCCCTGAGAGAAGCTGGCACTCCTGGAGAGAGAAAGCGGAGAAGGACAGGGGGCTTAGAGGAAGTCGGGCCTGACCACCAGGGGTGGCGTCGGCTGGGCCCGGCCCCACGCGGCTGGCTCCTGCGGAACAAACAGGCTGAGGGGGCAGAGGCCTGAGGGTTATCTCAGTTTGCCAGCTGCCTGCCCTTGGGGAAGACTCTTTCTTCCTGAGCTTCACCTTACCCGTCTGCAAAAATGGAGATTAAAGACATAGTTCGAAGGTTGTTTAGAAAGGAGACTACACTTCTAAGAATTTTATCGTGTAGATTTAAGTTTGAATCCATCTGTGATTTTTTTTTATATATGACACAAGGAAGAAGTTCAACTTAAATTTCTTCTTGACCGAGAGCCAGTTTTGTTAATGTCATTTATTAAGGAAACTACTTCTCCCAATGAGTTGAAATGCCAGCTTTGTAGGCTATTAAATTCTCACTTACATGGAGATCTATCAGTAGAATTTCTCTTATTTCCCATTGAGTTATTTGCCTGCTCTTAAACCAGCAGCACACCTACAGATTACAATGGCTTTGTAAAAGTTTAGCATCTGGTAAAGCAAGTCCTTACGTCACTATTGCTCACTTTGGCTCTCTTAAAACACTTTTTAAACTTCTTAATCTCCAGATGAGTGTATAGAGTACGATGTGCAATTGTGAACTGAATTCAAATTGGAATTGGATTTTGGCTTATAATTTGCGGAACATGAACATTTTGGGGTTTTCAAATGTTTCCACTCAAGCATGTAGTCATTGTTCCATTTATTCAGATCTTGCTTCATGATCTTTATTGAGATATTTAAAGTTCTTCAATATGACTGCAGAATTGAGGTTACTGGAGGGAGGGAGGATGGGGTTGGGGACAAAGGTGGGCGGCAGCCCAGTACCATCGTCCCCATCTGTGGTCACAGACTAGATGGCTGCATGGTGGGGGCGGGGTGGAAACGCACATCTGACAGGATTGGTGAACCTGGTCCCCTAAATCCTACGCTGTTGTAAACCAGTGTTACCTCAGTAAAGGAAAAGAAAATGAATCAGTTAAAAAAAAAAAAAGGTTAAGACGGTAAACTTTATGTTCTGTATATTTTACCCTAATAAACAAGCCCCCTTCGTTAAAAGAGTTGTCCATTCTGCTCTTGACTCTTTTCATATTTGCTTTTAAGCATGTCATTGTTTCGTTTCTATTTTGAGTGATTTTCCATTACTGAATGCTGAAAGCCGTATTTTTGAAGACCATGAATACTGTTTGCTACTAATAAACCATAGAAACTTAAAAAAAATAAATTCTCGTCTATCCGCCACACAGATGTTCAACGTTCGTGTTTATCTCTCCCTCTTCCCTCAAATGGCTGCGATTAGCAGGGGCCGCTCTCTCTCCTCCCCCGACAGTTACCGCCAAACCACTTATTAGCTGCTTCAGGTGCCACCGAATAACACACTCCATACAAAGGCTGTGAGACAGTGGAAAGAATTTTTAAGTTGGTATCAGAAAATAAGAAGCAAATCATTTTATCTGAGCCTGTTTCCCTGCTGTTAAATAAATCGGGTAATGGAAGTCGATGTCAAAAGGTTATAAACGATTTAAACATAAGTTATAGCTTTATTTTCTACTATGCACCATGGTTGTTGAGAGGCATTTAGAGGGGGGAGTATCTTGTTCCAGAAGTCTACAAATCCATAGGAAATACATTTTTCTATGTGGGAACTCTATTCAGGATAGTTCTGATTTTTTTAAAGATGTAAGTGTTTGGGAAATAAGGCAAGACTGCGTGGTAAGAAGATCTCAGAGCGGGAGGATTGTGTCAGGTGCCGGCACCGCCTCTGGTTTGCCCCGTGAGCTTCACCAGGCTGCCCTGTCTAAGGCGTGACCTAGTGGTCTCAATGGTTATGGGCCCAAAAGGTTCTGAAGCTCTCTCCAAAAGCCCTTGTCTTTAAAGTGTGGTTTTCAAACTGGATTCTGTGTAGGTGTCAGGGGAAACTGGAGGGTAAGGTTCTGAGCAAGCAGGGATCCAGACCTGCTTTTCATCTCTTACATGATGATTCTCTTAGGATTTCATTTTGGGGAAAAGAATAATATTCATTATTTCTAGACCAATCCTTTATGACAACGATTCTTAGCCCTTTTCAGGCTACAAGCTTCTTCAACAATCTGATAAAATGTTCTTGGAACTTCTGAGTAGAAAAAGGAAATAAATCTCATATATATGCAAACCTTCATGTGCATAGGAGGTGAGAGGGATGGGGGAGGGGTGTTGACCTTTAGAGACCAACCCATGAACCTTCTACCTCATACATCTCTCAGCTCATGGGGAGCTTGTTGTTACAGATGTGGCCAGCAGATGGTGGTAGAAAATAGGGCCCAGCAATTTATCAAGAAGGGAAACAGGTGTCTAGACCAGGTTCTCTCTTATGTGAACGTGTATCCCTTTTAGTCCTGAACCTTCGGTGGCCCTTCTCTCTAGACTTTCATGTTTCTGTTTGTCCCCTTGTCCTATCCCATTCCACACACATAACCAACCCAGCACCTATGGCCTAGATCACCAAACATCTAGCTTTTATACTGGGGTGCCTGGAGCAGAGGATGGGGACCCAGTCGTAGACATAAAGTGTTAATGTTGCTCGCACCTGTCTTCAGGATTTCCAAGTCTGTTGGAGCCCCCCATTTGGAGTCTTCACTTAACAATTACCGATGTCCAATTTTTGGTCTAGGCCAGGACAATGGATGCAGGGATGCCGCGGCCCTGCGGGGGGGTGGGGGTTGGGGCACAGCACTGGAGAACACATGCATGTTCCTCACCGACAAGTGGGTGAGTGCGAGGCTGCTGAGTTATTCTAACTGTCCTGGGTGGTGGAGGTTCAGAACGTGAGGGGAGGCTTCTTCAAAGGCGTTAGTTCTGAATGAGTCTGGCAGGCAGTCAGGCAAAGGGCGAGAGGAGGAGGATGGCATCCCAGGAGAGGCACAAAGAGGCAGACACAATCTGATATTCAAGGAGCTGCAAGTTGCTGAGGTTGGAGCAAATGCAGCAGAAAGCAGGGCTGACCGTGGAGGGCCAGGTCAGGGCTGCTGAGAACAGGAAGCTCCTGAAGGATCTCAAGGTGGGGTAGGGAGGTGGGGGGTGGGGTGAGGCATTACAGGTAGTATCCTGAAACAAAAACTTGTTGCAACCATATTCAAGAGTGAATATTGTCTCCCCCTCTCCAGTATCTTCTCCCTTGCTCCTTTTCCAGGATCCCTCGTTCGCGCTATGCTCCTCGCAGGCAAGCCTCTCGCCTTGGTTGTGCTTGCTATGTCTGAAAGACAAGCGCCTGCTCCTATCTATCCTTCGAGCTCTGCTCAAAGCACGTCTCTTAAAGTTGTTTCCTACGTCCTCTCCCTCCGAGCACAATCGGTCATCTGCTCAGTTCCGCGCTTGGCGCAGGGAGCAGTTGCTATCAGGGCTCTGCACCGTGGTTACCTGTTTCCTCCACCAGACCCCGCTTTTCTTAAGGAAAGACTCCATCTTGATCATTTTTTCTTCTCAGGATGCAGATTAGTGTTTTTCACATGACAAGGAATGAATGTTTGTTGAAGGACCAAGCACATACATGTATAAATAAGTGAATCAAGAGAAGTATTGGTGCTACATTATTTTCCCTGGGGTCAGCAGATGGACACTTCCCTTTGGAACCCACTTACCTGTGCCCCAAGCTCCGCTCCTGCCATCCTCCTCCCGAGCTCCTGCAACTCCTTACTCAGCCCCGAATATGTCCTCGTAGACTACGTCTCAGCCCTGGACTTGCATTATTTACCTTTCTCCAGAATGCTCCTTTGATGCATCAAAATCTTACACGACTGTGCAAAAGAAGCCTGTTTCGCTCCACAGGGTGTTATAGGACCTCTAATTCTTTTCACTCCACTCACTCCTTCCTTGTGCTCCCACAGCAGTCCGCGCTGCCATTTTAGCACTCACTCTGCCTTGTGTTAAAGTTATTTGAGGCTGTGTCGTGTCACTTCTCTCCGACACTCCCAGAAGGCAGAGGAGCGTCTCCTACCCTGGCACAGCGCCCGGCATGTGGCAGATGATGCTGATACCTGTTAGGGGGGCTGAAGGTCATTCAGAGATCAGGGGAGGAAGGACTCGACAGAGGGAAACACGTTTGCCCAAAGTTAACTGCTCAGATGCTGGGGTCCTCTTCTGGACCCCAGGTCTCTGGACTCCCTGGTTGAAGCCCGTGTTTGCGCCCTTTGGGCAAGAAGCACTGCGGGGGGGGGGGGGGCGGGCCGCGGGGGCGGGTGGGCAGGGATACGGAGCACTCAGAAGTCCTGTGGCCTCTACCACTTTCATGTAAACTTTTACTGAAGCTTATGTCACCCTAATGTCCCGAGCTGCTTTCCTGGGGTGGCTCTCTGAAAGCTTCTCTTCCAGGGCAACAGGCTGCCAGAGGTCTCATGGAATAAGCATGGAATCTGCCAGGCACGTCACACACCATCTCCCTTTTAATGGCCCTAACAGTTGGGAGAGGCAGGCATTATTCTACTGCGCGGGACAAAGGAAATGGCCAGTGGGAGGGCTGGCACAGGCAGATACTTGAAAGCAAGTGTGTAGGGAGTCTGGGAGGAGAGAAAAGTTTGGAGAAAACACTCCCTTGGGCTGCTCTGGCCAGCAGCTCAAGGCCATTCCTTCCCCCTTCGCGGCTCCCAGCTGCTCCAGAGACTGCTAGTGTGGGGGTGTCTCACACCCCACCTCCTGCACGTACTTGGGTCTTATGTCAACCCCTCCGCCTCCCCCTTGTCTTTCAGGAATGGTTTCCTAGTTTATCGAGTGACTTTGCTTTGTCCTTGTTCTTCTGCACATTTCAAATTTTTCTGTGCACCACACTATACCTTGATTCCACTCCTTTCCCCCCACCGGACTCTTAAGTACCTTAATGATGACGGGATCACTTTGATTTTTAATGGCTATGTTCCCACTTAAGGAAGCCTAATAAATGCTTGTAAGTAAATCAACCA